CCCCCTCCAACAAACAAACAACAAAAGCAAAAAAAACAAAACAAAACAAAACCCCAAAACAAAACCCCCAAAAAGCAACTACAAAAAACCCCAACAACAATAACAACAAAAACAGCAACAGAAAATCAAGCGAACAAATAGCATGAAATAAAACCCCTGCCCTTTTCACCCCCTAAAGTAATTACCACAATATTATTATTATCCTCTTTTCTCACCAAAACAACTCTAATCCTGACAACCCCCCTTTTTTCCTTTTCCTGTCACGCATTTGTATAATTTTTTGTAGCTTTGTCCGTTGTTCTCTTCACCCCCCTTCAAAAAGTTACATTTTTTGCTGTTGGGTGTCTAAAAACACGTCGTGATTTTTAAACATTTTAGAAACTTGTACCATAATAAAAAAAATTTAAAGACCGCAGTGTCCTTGCATCTGTTTACCTTGTATTTGATTGACGAACTCTTCTCTTTGAGCTGAAGCAATAAAACGTGTCCACAAAACAGGCATCACTCAACACCACACAAGAAAAGAATTAAAAAAAAACTAGCCTAGTGAGCAACTTTATTACAGCCCTCTAACAAGCATGCATCTGTAACAGTTCAACAAGAATAATATGTAAATGCATTTTATACTTTTTATTGTTCCCTGCAGCAAAGGCCGACATAAAATGACAGGGTGACGTAAATAATGGATTTGGATCTACAAGATGTTTTTTTTTTCTTCTTTTCTTTTCTTTTGTTAGTGTTAAACGACGCTCGCAACTACATAAGGTCATATGAGCGCGTGGAACATATTAAACATTTTCTGTGATAGGAAAGTTTAAATTTTGCCCGGGTAGTGGCCGAAGCCTACTCGTATCGATTTTGGACCACCAAGGGATATTTAGCGTGCACAACTAGCACACGAGACGAGGCCCCAGAGATTTTTCGCCCTCGTCCGAGAAGGCTATGTGTAAATCTTTCCTACCTTAAGATCAGGGGTGTCACAGAAAGACAGCAGTAATAAGGAGCCAAGGAGTAACAGTAGAAAGGTTGCAGAAAGAGTCAGGAGCCTAGAGGAGGGGAAAAGGAGGCGAGGGGGTGGCAGCAGAAAGTAGAGACGAAAGTAGACGACAGAACATTGTTAGAGAGCAGGAAATAATATGAAATAAAAACATTTTAGAGAAGAAAATTTTCTGTCGCTATCCGGATTTAAACCCGGGACCAATTGAATAAAAGGCGAAAACCTTAACCTCCATAACTGAAAGGGACTGACACAATTATAACACGTTCAATGATATTGCACTCCACTTGGCACATTGTGCTGTTTTGTGATAGTTGAATAATATTTTCATTATTGTAAATACAGGGTGATTAAAGAAACAACAACTAGATCTAAACAACTTGTTTTGGTAAATATTTTCCTCCACACAAAAGTTTTGTGTTTTTAATTATTACACAACATTTTGGAGTTGAAAATAATTTGTCTGATATTCATTTTAGATCAATCCACAAAATAGTTTTTCTCTACATAGCGTGTAAAAAAACCCAACCCATTGCCAACTATGTCCCCACAAATTGTAGTATGACGTACTAGTTTGCATTAGGCCCACCACTAAAAGTCCCAAAGATTGGGCCATATTGCAAGCTACATTGGTCTAACTGGCCAAAATTAGTTTGCAGATAGTATTTTTCAAGTTTCCTTTGCCTGTTGAGATTATGGTTAAGATTAGCTGAGAGCTGAGAGTTTTTTGTATTGAACATTTCCTCACCACCAACTCATTTCGTAAGTTTTGCACAAGGTGTGTAAAGTGTCCTTAAGGCCTCCTTTGACGTCAAAGGTAAAAATGGTCCATCTATTTGGATCTGTAGAGAATCAGAACTAAAAATGGACAAAATGACACCTTTAGGTCAAACATACACCGTTTGCCCCCCTTTAAACGTCACCAGGGTGCAGCATTCAGCAGATGAGCCCCACGAGACACTTGTCCGAAGACAATGTCTGCAGCTAGGACATTCCTACATGCTCAACGGTCTGCATTCTCTAGGTAGATCTTCATCTACGACTGTACTATTTTCCTGTTCGCGAAGCTGACGTGGATCAGAGGACAGCAATGTATTAATGATTCCTTCATCATATTGAAAAGCGTGAACTTTCTCCTCTGTGACATTTGGTTACTTGGCAAAGCCCATCTATTCTCCTTTCAGGATAATATGTTAATTCCACAAATGCTGTCTATTTGGGAAACCTCACCCACCCCGTATTCTCTTTAGAAACAACTCAATACAGTAAGGTGTACAGTGTTTGTAGCTTTGGGTACTCTTGGTTGGGAGGGTCCTTGTGTTTGTCCACCACGGAACATTACGAACGGCGCGTTAAATTGTGTCTAGTCCAAAATAAGGACATATAGAGCACTGGTTCTCGGAATTCCACAGTTTTACAAATATATTTTTTTAACTCTGTAAGAGAAAAGAAATAATGTTTAAATTTTACATTGCGGGAAAGATTATATTTTTTAATGAATTTTTTTAACCCCCCCCCAAAAAACAACAACAACAACAACAACCAACAACTAATAATTTCATGACTCTCCCTACAAGGTCTTTTAATTTGATGTACAGGGTGATCCAAAAAACTGTACAACTTGTTTTGTAAATATCTTTCTCCTTACATGTATAAAAGTTTTGCGTTTCAGATTTGAATATAACATTTGGAAGCCAAAAGGAATTTTTCTGATATTTATTTTAGATAAGTTCATTGAATGGTTTTGCTCTATACGGAGCATTTTAAAAAACAGCCTATTTTCAACCTTGTTGTCATTTTCATAGCATGACGTACTAGTTGACAATATTCGTGCCATATTGCAAGTTACAGCAGTCTTACAAGTCAACAGAAATCTGCAGATATTATTTTTCTCAAATTTCGTTTGCTTGCTGAGATCATGGTTACGTTTAGTAAAGAGTAGGGAACATTTTGTATTGAACATTACCTCTCCACAAACCCACCATCCCTGACATTTCCTAAGTTCTGCGCACGGCATGGAGCGAATGCTTAGGTGTCCTGAAGACCTTTGGCGTCATGAGTTGAGAAATTCAGTCAGTCTGGATCTATAGCTTATCAGAACTAAAAATGTCCTTTAAAATGACCACTTCAGGTCGAACATGCACCATGCACAGCACTACACGTCACCAGGGTGCAGATTTCAGTGGTCGCGTCTCATGAGACGTCTGTCCGTAGACGATCTGCAGCTAGGACTTTCCTACACCTCAACAGTCTACATTCCCTTGGAAGACCTTAACCAATGACTGTACCATTTTCATCTTCGCTAAGCCGAGATGACATGGATCAGAGCCTGGCAATGTGTTCATGATTCCTCAATTGTCTTGAAAAGCGGGATCATTTCCCCGAGGACATTTGATTTAGTGCAAAGCCCATTTTCGCGCTGCGGGATATGTTGACTTCAAAAAGGCTGTCTGCTTGGCACCCCACTCCCTATTGTCTCTACAAGCCACTTCATATTGAAATTGTACAATGAACGTTTGCTTTAAAAACTCATGGTTTAACAGGCCCTTGTGTTTGGGCGCCATTGAATATTTCGTAAAAAATGTGTCGAGTCTAAAGGAGGGCACGTGGGGCGCTGCTTCTAGGAATTTCAGAATAAAATCGGTGATTTTTTTAACTCTGTAAAAAAATTTGTTTCAACATTATTTAAATGTCACAGGAATGAAAAATTAAATGTAAAAGAGAAAATAAAGAACAAAGTAAACTAATCTTTTCACGACTTCCTTAACAATTTTTTAAAACGTTGGTGAAGTTTGCGTTTCGGGTCTTTTTTTCTTCAAGCCAATTCCGTTTTCACTATATGTTTCTTCTTCATGGATTTTATGCCAAACAAATTCCTGTTGAACGAATTATGTCTGTTCTAAAGCATTCTAGTACACATTTGGGGCTAGATATTCAGAAAAAAAGTTGTTCAATTGGGATTTTTTAAATCATCCTGTACTTGAGCAGAGGATAAAAGTAAAATATTTCTGGCCTTGGGCTGTCTCTGCTGGTGACGTTCTCTGATGAAAAGTAACGACGTGTTTACCTGCACCTATAGGAAAATTGAACTATGGACCCAAAAGACACTGTGCCGTTCACACTGGGCAGAAACAGGTAAGCACCCACGCAGGGAATAGCCACATCCTCTAAAGAACACACTCGTAATATATACATGTACATGAATGGGTACGAGACAGCAGTAGTATACTTTGTTGTATTCGAAGTTATTTCTAAAATTCTAAACACAGCTAACTTTGAAAATAAACATTTTTCGTTGGGCCCTAGTGAAACTTAGAAAAAAATAGATCTCCTCAGAATTTTCACAACCCCGTCTTATCAATATCCATAATAAACAATTAGTGCAAGCTTGGAATATCGGACGAGTGTAGAGTATCCAAGCTCATTGAAAGCCTTGCAGTAGACTTTGTCCGTTGGCCACCTGAGAATGGCAGTCGGAACGATGAGCTCATATACTACTTGATCTGGACTGGGTCTCTTCACAGCAAGTATATAGTTTGAATTGTTGTCCATCCGAGTTTCTGGCGAGATATCATCAGCATAAATTTCAATAGTGACGTTGCTTCCTGTTGAAGCACACGTCACAGTGGCGGTCTCGTTTCCAAAGTCTTGAATTCTTGTGGAGTTCTTGTCAACTGCCGGATGGCTGCCCACCAAGAGCGTCAGTTTGTGTTGGGCGGTTTCGCCGTGGGCCGATCGGACTTCACATGTGTACTCTCCAGTCGCTGAATCGGGGTCGTTACCAACATAATGTAGATACGCTTCTGCATCTTCACCTGTAGGACTTATTTGGGACCTCAGTTGAAAATCAACATTCTTGGCGCCCTGGGTTGAGCCCGTTTTATAAATCGTTATCTTTTGAATATCTCTACCCACAAAATGGCATTGTACTGAACATGCATTTACAGACAAGTGCTCTGCCAGTGGATTAGTGTTACACACGAACTGATCCACAGAACTGAACAGGAACTGATCATATGGAAACGGAAAAGATTGGTCATCCCCTTTTATATACACAGGAATGTGTGAGTACACATAGCGTACATTTGATTCCTCAGTTTGGCTGGGATCTCTTTGGGTGAGAAAAATGATTCCATTTTCTGATCCAGATTCTGAGAGCACAGACAGGCGCAGTCTGATCTCTCTCGGTTGTGTATCGTTCCCAATAAATAAAGTATCTTCTGTACCGCTTCTGTGGTCATCGAGCTGAGTTTCTTCAACTGTCAACACTTCAACTGTCAACATGTTGTTACTTACAACTTCTGGGGTTTTGATTTTGACTTTGTACCTACCAAACCCTTGATGAATATCATGTATATTCCATTGCGACTGTAAAAGTTCTTTTGTATCCTCATCGTATGCCAAAAGTGTAACACTGTAACCTAAAGTATTCGTACCCGAACCGGTAATTTTTTCTTGAAACGATTTAGTTATTCCCCCGTGCTGCACTATAGTTAATTCCGCAATATCCATGTAAACTGTAGGGATTCTTATGCGCTCAAATAAAGAGCCGGTTCTCTTTGTTCCGTTTACGACGCTGTCGAGACCGTCAATAATATGTTTACACACGCTAACAGCGACTGAAACCCGAGGACGGAAACTTAACCCAATTTCAGAGAATATGAAATTCACTTCTTTTCGATAAAAGTCCTGTTGTTTTCTACACCATTCTGTATTGATTCTGAACCTAGGTTTTGAAATCTTGGGGACAGGCGAGTCTTTACGGAGTCGAACGGTTTTGGCCTTAATCTTTCCATAGTCGAATTTTTCAATGAAAGGCATAACGTAACCATCGACGTAATGCTGAACAGTGAAGACAACGACGACATGGTCCGACTTAAAAATTGTCTCTACAGACAAAGGAACCACTGGCATATCTGGACTGAACCAGTCTCGTTTTTCTTTAAAATCAGATATTGATTTCTCGTTAATGTTAGAGGAATTTGGTGTTCCTTCAATAGTTGGCGTCTGGGAGAGGGTGGCGTTTCGGTCCTGGAGATTGTCACAAAATGCGTTGAACGAACTGACAAGCTGACTAATATCATTGCTCTGAACAGATCTCTTTTTTCTCAGATTAATTGGGGGGCCAATATCGAGAATTTGAACTTCGTCTTTCAGTTGACTCAGACTTCTCTTTACTCCTTCATAATGGAATTCAAAGGCCTGAAACAAAATGGAAAAAATATATATCAAATAGACAAAAATCAACCTTGTTGGCGTAGAAACAAAATAACGAATAACATAAAACTTTGGAATCGATTCTTGAATGGAAACCCGTCACCCATATATCTGGTGGCGCAAGACTCATTTTTTTGGAAAGGGGGAGGGGGTGTTTTACGGCGCTCGCAACTGCATAAGAATAGGGTCATGTGAGCGCGCGGGACACATTAAACTTTCTCTGTTTGGTAGGAATTCATTTTGAATTTGGAAGGGTGGCGGCCAAAGCCTACTCTTATCGATTTTGGACCACCAAGGGATCTTTAATGTTACTTGCACACAGGACCTCCAAGATTTTTCGCCTTTGTCAGAACAAAGATCTTACCTACACTAAGATAAGGGGTGTAGCTGAAAGACAGCAGTAAGAAGGAGCCAATGAGTAGAAGTAGAAAGGCTGCAGAAAGAGTCGGGAGCGAGGGGGGGGGGGGGGGGGCAGAAAATGGAGACCAAAGCAGACGACAGAACATGGTTAGAGAGCAGGAATGGAGATCAAAGGAGAACAATTTAGAGAAGAATATTTTCATTCGCTGTCAGGTTTCGAACCTGGGACCTTTTGAATGAGAGGCGAACGTGCATAACCCCTAGGACACGAGGGCCCCCGACTCATACTCTGACAGCCATCTGCCTTAACAAAGGGATTTCACACGCCAATCATTCAAAGGTAAGACAAGAGAACCCAAACAATGGATTTTCAAAAAGATTTTGTAAGAGTTTTACGGCACTTGCAACAAAAATAGGTCTCACAAGTGCCGAAGATTAGAGGCGTCACTTTGGAGTAACTTACGAAGAACAGAATAAGGAGAGATAAAGACGATATATCTTTAGATAAGAAAGAAAAAGCGGACCATACCAGGTCACCAGTCAACTTCCCACAAGGGATATTTAACGTGTGCAGCGGACGTGCACACGGGATCACTGAGCGTTTTGTCCTTATTCGAGGAGACGAGGTGCTCGATCTTACGAAGCTTAAGATCAGGGGTGTAGAGGAACGTAAATTATCAACAAACCAGAGTATGCCAGAGTACATATTGAGCGAAATATGCCTGAGCATATCAAACAAATACAAAACTACTTAGTATCCATAAAATGACCAGAGACAATTTAGATATTTTGAATATTGGACCATATTTCTGTTTTTTACTTGATGTCGGACAAACGTTCTGTTCTTTTACATAATTGTTATTGCTAGTTCGAGTTTCCTATTAAAGGCTAAAAGAGATGGAACAAAGTATGGTACGCTCGGAAATTCTTGAAAATTTCTCATTCAGTGGAAAGGGAACGCACACTCATTGAAAAATTGTAGAACTACTTTACGTTAGTGTTAGCTTGCTTTCTCATTAGTCGTTGACAGCAATTTACTCCCTACTTTATTTCTGAACAGACTTGTTGCCTCCAAAAGATTCATCGTATCCCTTTCTCCACTTCATGTAAATCGGCGATTAGCGATTTGGTAAAACTTGTGAATAGCTTCAAAGTAGGCATTTAGAGTCTCAAGTAATCGAGGCCGACGACTGTTGATTATACCAAAAATAGTAAATAACAAGATGGGCCACTCAGCCAAAAAAGAGGCCGCAGGAAGTATGCTCTTTGCTTCGGATGGCGCTGCAGTCTGTTTTGAAGCTCTCTTTCGTTTTTCCAGAAGAAGAATAGGAATAGCACCTCTTTGCGTGCGCAGATCGACTGCTGTTCATCAGCAGTTCGGGTCCGTTCAGTGCGGAGTTTTAGAGTTTAAAAAAAATTCTAATGACCTCTCACCTTTCATTCTAAAGTCAAATTAAACGAAGAAAACCATCACCCTTTCCACCGGAAGAGGTTTTTTGTCAGCGTAACCATTAAAAAAAAAGCGTTCTTCCGAAATTTATCCCAAAACTTGCTAGTTTCACTTTGATTTTTTAAAACTCGAGTAGGGTAACTCTGTTCGCAAAGAGTGCGCTTTTGTGAAGAGGGCGCCACCAAATTTTGAGGACACTTTTTTAATTGGCTCAAAGAGAGAAGTGGCCCATCTTGTTATGTACTATCTTTGATTATACTTCCGAGACGACACAATAAGTGATCAGTTACTAAAAATCGTCTTATTCTATACTTTTCCAGCGGCTTCGTAGAATATGAACAATATCAAAAGTCAAATCATCAAAAACAAACAATACACCGAAACTTACCTCCAGTAAATGAGCTATTCTGTCTGTAGTTTCCTGCTCTTGTGTCCCCTGGGCTGACCACCAAGAAACGATGCACAGAACTGACAGGATGAACGCGTGACGACTTCTCGAGGTGCCCATTGTGAGTGCCACGTTTGTTTTTGCTGAATTTGTTAGATCTCGGTCTAAACTTCGTAACGGACTCTGGGAAATGCGCCAATAAAAGCTTTCTGCTCTAAAGTAATATCTCAAACTTTGCCCTTCACAGAGCGATAACATTCTCAGCCATATAAGGGACGGTTTGCAGTCATTTCCTCTCTTTGCCATTTTGAGGTTTACAAAGCAGAAACTGAGGAAGCTCCCAGAGTAAAAAGTAAAGTTGTTCCCGCATATCCGATCCGGACATTGGGGATTGCTTGTAAGTGAGACAACTTCCTGGGCCTTCGGCATATTATAGTTAACGTAAATATGACAGTGCTACCGTGTAGACAATAAATAAAGGAGATAAAAATGATTTCATTGTTTGCGATATTTTTCCCAAACGATGAGGACCTTTAGCGTTCCACTTTTCTAACCCCCTCCCCCCCCCCCTTTTTTTTTTTCTTCTCCATTTTTGACCTTTACAATTGAGCAAACCACAACCCTACTGCTGATAAATTGTGTTGCTCTTTGCATTTCCAGTCCGGTCATGGCAGCCGTCACGAACAATTTTTCCGCTAGATCTACGGTCGCGTGGGTTATATAAGGAAATTATGTTTCCATTAGTCACATGATGTACATAAATTGGGTGTTTGTGCCAGATGTGCCTTTTAAGCGCTGTTCCTTTAAAACGTCTTTTGAAATACTTGTTTTAGTTTAACACTCAAAATGTGTACTCATAATAAATTAATCATTTCTAAAGCACGTTCAATTGTCATCCATTCGAATTTTGACTTGTCTTGCAGTCAGTACGTTATTTAGATCCTCGATTCCTTCATCCGCACGTAGAGTTGTAACAAAAGGCGGGCTGCTTGAGGGTTGTGTTAGGGTTGCGGAGGGGGTGGGGAGGGGGGGATCGCGGACATGCGGGATGGGGGGATGAAACTTGATTAGGAAAAGCTGTCTGTACTCCTATGGAGCGCCCTGTCAGTATTGTTCTCATCTGAACACAAGGAAGGAAACTACCGCAGTTGGATTAAATGGAACTTGAAATCAGTGGACAAACTGATCCGTCTCATACGTATTATGAGGAATGCGCAACTTGGTGCTTTACATTTTTATGAGTATACGTATTCGTGTGTCATACTACAACAAGTACACTGTATAATAAATCAAATACATGGAATATAATGTTTTTGTTAAAATTAGGGAATTCAAAAGCCCCCAATGCCATACAAATAACAAACCCCTTTTTATGCATATACAGTACGCACACATACATGCACACACGAACACACACACACACACA